TCGGCGAGCGAGGCCGCAGAGCAGAGCCTTTCGACGCCGCTCCCCCCACCGCCCTCCTCCCCTCCCCTCGCCGCCGCACTCCTCCCCCCTCCCCCGCCCCTCCTCCCGCCGCCGCCGCACTCCTCCCCTCGCACTCCTCCTCCTCCCGCACTCCCCTCGCCGCCGCACTCCTCCCCCCTGCCCCTCCCCTCGCCGCCGCACTCCTCCCCCGTGCTTCCCTTCCATGTCGCCACGGTGCGTCCCCCTTGCGGTGGCCCACCTGGTACCGCGCGGGGGGCTCGGGCGGGGACGCGGGTCGGGTCGCCCGCGGGCGGCTCCTCGGGGGATCCACGCCCGCTCTTCCCACGGTCTGGGTGCCCCGCCCGGTGTGTGCGTGGGGGCGGGAGTCAGCCAGGGGAGTGGCGCCCCTCGGCTTGCTTGGGGCGGCGTTGGGGGCGTCGTTCTCTGAGCCCCGAGTGGCGGGCGCGGCATGAAGAACCGGCGGTCGGCAGCGAGGCTTGTTCCCCCCTCTGTCTCGTCTCATCTGCTTGTCCCTGGGTCAGAAGTACCCTCGGGGCGCTTTCCCTCAGTGTGGGAAGGGTATCGTTTTTCCGACGGAGGCACTCAGTCTCCCTTCGGGCTCCTTCCTCCCCCCTCCTGGGAGGTGCCCGTCGTCCCTTTTTATCGCGCCACTCGGCGCGAGGTCGTTGGCTGCTATTCACGCTGCGCCCCCTGGCCCCGCCACCACAAAACCCCTGCCCCCCCCCCCATCCACCCCCCGTTCTCAACCCCCTCCTCCCACTCCGCCCCTATCACGGGTTCCCGCCACGGGCCACGGCCCCCCCTACTTGCCGCAAACTCTTCCCGCTCCTCCCGCTTTTCCCCTCCCCTCCTCCCCCTCGTCTGCTCTTCTCTCTCTATTCCCCCTGCTGGTCCGTGGCCGCTCTGGCTCTGGTGCCGCTCGGACCAACCTGAACCTGGCTGCGTGCTCACGCCTCGCTCTGTCGCGGCCAGCTGCTGCGCACGGGCCAAGGCCATCCGATGTCTTGCGTGGCGCGGAGGCGCCTTCGTGGCGACGCCCGGGGGCGTTGCGCGCCGCGTGCCGCCACTACGGAACGGCAGCTCCTTGGCCTGGAGGCTCTCGTTGCCGTGGCCGGGCGCGGCTGGGCCTCGTCGCCGCGGGGCTGGGCGCCGGTGCTGGCCGCCTCGCAGTGGTCCGTTCGCAGCCGAGGGCAAGACGCCGCGCGGGTGCTCCCAGCATGGGCACCTTAAAGCGGCCCCGTCGGCGGAGGTCGCGGAGGGCCGCGCGCGGCCCAGATCTCGGGCCAGACGAAAGGAGGGGATTGGGAAAGGGGGGGTTACGAAATTTGCTGCATGCAGCTGGTTTCGGCCTCACCGAGGGGCCCATTCCTCGATACATAGTCGCCTCCGGCGCCGGGAGGCGTCGGGAAAATCAGCTACGTGAGCTGATTTTCAAACCCCCCCTTTGCTATCCCCCCCTTTCGCCCGACCCGAAGATCCGTGGGCCTCCGGGCTCGGGAGCCTGCGGTGCCCCCGGCCTCGGGCGAGCGGCCCGGTGCGCCTCGTCTTGGGGCTGCAAGCCCACGGGGTCGGATGTCAGATGTGGCGCGAGCGCGCCTAGCTTGCCCTCTCCTCCTCCTCCTCCTCCTCCTCCTCCTCCTCCTGCTGCTCCTCCTCCTCCTCCTCCTCCTTCTCCTCCTCCTCCTCCTACTCCTCCGCCTTCGCCTCCGCAGCCTCCACCTCCTCTTCCTCCTCCTCCTCCTCCTCCTCTTCCTCCTCCTTCTCCTCCTTCTCATCCTACTCGTCCGCCTCCGCCTCCGCCGCTTGGTCCTCCTGTTCCTCCTCTTCCTCTTCTTTTTCTCCTCATCCTTTTTCCTCCTCCTCTTTCCTCTTCTCCTTCTCCTCCTCCCCCCGCTCCGCTCCTCCTCCTCCTCCTCCTCCTCCTCTCCCTCCTCCTTCTCTCCTCCTCCTCCTCCTCCTTTTCCTGCCGAGCCGCCGGGGCCGCCCTGCCGCTCGCCTTCGTCACCGGGGGCCCACGGGGCGTGGCGAGGCCCCGCGGTCGCGGCGGCGGCCGCCCGCCGCCGCGACCGTCCGAGCGGTTCCCCAGCGAGTCCCTCCTCCTTTCCCCCGCCTCTTCCTCCGCCTCCGCCTCCGCCTCCCTTCTCCTCCGCCCTCCTCCTCTGCCTCCCTCCCTCCTCCCTCCTTTCTCCTCCTCCTCCTCCTCTTCCTCCTCCTCCTCCTCCTCCTCCTCCTCCTCGTCCTTTTCCTCTCCGCCTCCGCTTCACAGTCAGGGGACCTGCTCCGCCTCCGCCTCCTCCCTTCTCTCCTCCCCCCCCGCCCGCCTCCTCTCCCCCTCTGGGGTAGGGTTTCGTTGGGTGAGATTTCGGTGGAACCGCGACCGTCCGCGCGATTCCTCAGCGAGTCCCTCCTCCTTTCCCCCCTGCCCTCCTTCGGAAACTGGAGCATGTACATTACCAGTGGCGGGCTGCTTCTCAATCCCAGGACTTTTTGAGGAACGGGGCCGACGTCGGGGTGGTGTGATGTACACTTGTTTCCACGTGTCCCTGGGGAAAACAACGACACATGTGTACACCAGGATCCCGTATACACCAGGATCCGTTTTCCTGTGCCAGTTTCAGCGCGGGGCTGGAAAAAAAGCGTCGGTCTATATAGTTCAGTCAGAGGACCTCCTCCGGCTCCGCCTCCTCCCTCCTCTCCTCTTCCTCCTCCTCCTCCTCCTCCTCCTCCTCCTTCTCCTCCTCCTCCTCCTCCTCCGTCCTCATCCGTCCTCCGTCTCCTCCGTCCTCCTCTCCCCTCCCTCTGGGGTAGGGTTTCGGTGAAGCCGCCGCACTTGCATCGGCGACCCTCTGGGAGTGGCCCGAATGGCGGTTGCTGGCCAATGCAGCTCGCCTTCCTTACACTCACCCCGCGAAGCGAAGGTCTAATTACCCTGCGACGTACCCAACCCATGTGCATCAAGTGGCAAGAGGAGTAGGCCAACATTCGCAGGAACAACGACAGTGTAGACGCGGTGAATTGCTGCGCAAACCACATGGGATGCGCATGCGTTGCTCGACTCACAGGACGAGGATCGAAAGAACGAGGACTGAATCCCCAGGCTCGAAGAATAAAGGGGTCAGGAACGAGGGGCAAGAGAAGGATGTAATGGGGGGTAATCGGAATCTGCGTATGACGTCACTCCGCTGGGCCCCCCAGCAGCCCTAGAAAGTGGCGACAGTTTCGCAGATCGCAGCCCCCCCCCAGGGATGACGAGGTCGAATCGGAATCTGCGTATGACATCACTCCGCTGGGCCCCCCAGCAGCCCTCGAAAGTGGTGACAGTTTCGCAGATCGCAGCCCCCCAGGGATGGCGAAATCTAATCTGAAACTGCGTATGACCCCGCTCCGCTGGGCCCCCCAGCAGCCCTCGAAAGTGGCGATTGTTTCGCAGATCGCAGCCCCCCAGGGATGGCGAGGTCTAATCTGAATCTGCGTATGACCCCACTCCGCTGGGCCCCCCAGCATCCCTCGAAAGTGGTGACAGTTTCGCAGATCGCAGCCCCCCAGGGATGGCGAGGTCGAATCTGAGTCTGCGTATGACCCCACTCCGCTGGGCCCCCCAGCAGCCCTCGAAAGTGGCGGCAGTTTTGCAGATCGCAGCCCCCCCAAGGGATGGCGAGGTCTAATCTGAGACTGCGTATGACCCCACTCCGCTGCCCCCCCCTCCCCAGCAGCCCTCGACAGTGGTGACAGTTTCGCAGATCGCAGCCCCCTAGGGATGGCGAGGTCTAATCCGAATTTGCGTATGACCCAACTCCGCTGGGCCCCCAGCAGCCCTCGACAGTGGTAACAGTTTCGCAGATCGCAGCCCCCCAGGGATGGCGAGGGTCAATCTGAATTCACGCATGTCCCCACTCTGTTGGGCCCCCCAGCAGCCCTCGAAAGTGGCGACAGTTTCGCAGATCGCAGGCTCCCAGGGATGGCGAGGTCGAATCTGAATCTGCGTATGACCCCACTCCGCTGGGCCCCCCAGCATCCCTCGAAAGTGGTGACAGTTTCGCAGATCGCGAACCCCCCAGGGATGGCGAGGTCGAATCTGGATCTGCGTATGAGCGCACTCCGCTGGGCCCCCCAGCAGCCCTCGAAAGTGGCGGCAGTTTCGCAGATCACAGCCCCCCAGGGATGGCGAGGTCTAATCTGAATCTGCGTATGACCCCATTCCTCTGGCCCCCCCCCCAGCAGCCCTCGAAAGTGGCGACAGTTTCGCAGATCGCAGCCCCCCCAAGGATGGCGAGGTCGAATCTGGATCTGCGTATTGGCCCACTCCGCTGGGCCCCCCAGCAGCCCTCGAAAGTGGTGACAGTTTCGCAGATCGCAGCCCCCCAGGGATGGTGAGGCAGGAAACAAACTGGCACGCAGGAGCGAGCGAGGTAGGAAGCAGGGGGAAGAGGAAAGGCGGAGGGGGCGGGAGAGGAGAGGAGAGGAGTCGCGACCGCAGCTGCTCTATTCAAAACGAGAACCCAACGCAGAAGGGTTGGGAACAAAAAGGCCCCACTCCCACACACACAAGGAGATCCTGACGGTGATCCGTTTTTTCCAAAACGAGTACCCAACCAAGGAGGGTTGGGAAACACGCAAGAGGCAGGGGCAGGAGGAGGCAGGATGAGGGAGGCGGGAGGAGCAGACAGAGGACTTGGAGACCACATTGCTCTATTCAAAACGAGTGCCCAACCAAACAGGGTTGCGGAAACAAAATGCCCTCCCCGTCCTTCTCGGCATCGCGGCCTTCTCGTCCTCTCCCTTCTTGCTCGTCCTCCCACACCTGATCGCTCCTTCTCCGCCTTCTGCCTCCCCTCCTCTCTCCGCCTCCCTCTCCTCCTCCTCCTCCTCCTCCTCCTCCTCCTCCTCCTCCTCCTCCTCCTGTTCCTGTTCCTGTTCCTCCTCCTCCTTCTCCTCCTCCTCCTCCTCCTCCTCCTCCTCCTCCTCCCACCAACGAGGAGAACCTGACGGTGATCCTCTTCCGGCTGCTGTGGGCCGGAGGCGGCGCCGGCGCCTACCCGCGCAGGAGCGCCCAGGCGGAGAAGGCCCGCCGTGCAGCCGAGGCGCTGCTGGCGGCCGCGGAGCCGCAGAAGGCGTCCCGCGATGGGGGGTATTTCTCAGACGGACAGACAGGAGCCGTGCCTAGACGGCACATCGGCTGCAGATCGGGTGTATGTACAATCGCACTCCAGCTCCACATGGGATTATGCATACACTTTAGGCGATGCTTAAGAAAACCCAAGTTTTCGGCCAGAGTCTCGATTATTCTTAATGTTTCAATGTACATCCCAAGATTTGAATAGATATTCTGGGTTTTTATGCACATTCTGAGACTATGAATTTCTTAACCCATGATTTCTAAAGCATTTCGCAGGGTGTACATCTGCTCGGTCATGCCCGACCCCGCCACGAGGCCCACAGGGTGGACGGCCAGGAGGAGCAACGGCAGCAGGGGGCAGAGGAGGGAGCGACACCCGGGACCAGGGCGAGCCCAGAGCTATAGGGGAGGGAGGAGAGGGAGCGACGGGCGCCGACCCCCGAGAGAGGAGGGGAGGAGGGCGAAGCCCCGGGCGCGACCGCCCGAGGAACGAGCAGGAGGGAGAGCAAAGGAGGAGGAGGAGGAGGAGGAAAAAGAGGAGGAGGAGGACGAGGAGGAGGAGGAGGAGGAGGAGGAGGTGGAGGTGGAGAAAGAAAAGGAGGACGAGGAGGAGGAGGAACAGGAGGAGAAGGAGGAGAAGAGGGGGTGCTTCTCAGAGGAGGAAAAGGCACCCATACCTCTACCCTTCGCCAGTTTTCCCCCTTCTCTGGGCCTCCTGGTAGGCCCTCGTCGCCACCGCTGGACCCGCCTCGAGGTCCCGATCAGAACGCACCCCGGGAGAGGTCCGGGGAGCAGCGGTGTCGGTACCTTGTGGTTTCCCCAGCTTCGGTATCAAATCAAGGGAGCCTTGTGTGCCCTCTTAATATTTTATTTCACGTCGCCTCGCGTCGACTAGCGTCTGGTAGTCGATGAGAAATCGCCGATCTAGCGTCGGCGAGCGTCGATCTGGCGTCGATCCGCGTCGACTAGCGTCGGTGCCCGGGTCTAGGCCTCCCAGATGGTGTCCGAGTTGATGGGGTCGACGGATCGCGCCGCATCGCCGATGCGTTGCTGATGTGGCTCGATGTGGGGGCCGATTTGCTCCACTTCGATGGCGCCGCCAACGCATCGCCGACGCATCGCCGATGCATCGCCGATGCATCGCCGATGCGTCACCGATGCGTCACCGATGCTTTCGTGACGTGGCGCGATCTCCCGACCCCATTCACTGAAAAAGGGGGGGAAGTCGGTGGAGGCGGGCAGTCACGGCGTGCTCGTGCCGTGTCGGCGCGGCGGCGGCGCCGGCGCGCGCGCCGAAGGCCGAGCGGCCTTTTGTTTGGCCAGGGCCGTGGCTCGGCAGCGACGGGGCGTGTGCGCGTTCCTCAGGAGGGAAAAAACACACACACAGACACAATTAAGCGTCGATTCCCCAGAAAATATAGGAAAATATGGGAAGCGCGGGGGAAGACAAAAACCCCGGAAATATGGGAAAACATGGGGAATCCTTTTATGTGTGTGCATTTCTTTGTGTGTCCCGGGGCCCCTTTCAGTTCCTTCGGCCAGGCCCCTCGAGGAGCAGCCTCTGGAGCAGACGGTTGCGAGCAGCGAAGCGCGCGCGGGGCCGAAGAGTGCGCGGGGCAGGGGCGTCCGAGCGACGGCGTGGGCTGGTGCGAAGGCTTCCCTGGCGTGGGCGAGGGGGGCCTCTGCCCCCCAGGGTCTGGGGGAGAACGGGGGGGCGGGGGGCCGAGCCCGCCGGGCTGCGGCGCGCAGCCGCGAGCTGCCCGACGCGAGGGGCGTGCAGGGAGGAGGGAGGAGAAGGAAGTAGGGGGGGGGGGCGAGAGGAAGCAGATGAATTGGATGAAGGAGAATGGTGATGGTGACGACGAGGAGGGAGGGGAGTCCCCGCCGGGACCTCGTGGAGCTTCCGAGTTGCAGTCGCCACCGCCACCACTGGCCCACCGCCCGAAGGGGGGGCTGATTTGAGACGGCGGGAGAGGGGACACACAATGCTGAGGGCGTGAGAAGGAGGATGGGCGAGAGCACGGAGGAGCAGGGGAAAGGAACCCCCAAGAAGTTCCAGAGCCCCCTGACACCCCTGGGAGCCCTTGCAGTCTCCCCTTCCTCTGGAGGCCTTTGGAAGCCCAGGAAGAGCCCAACACACTCCAAACCTCAATCCTCGTCCTTCGACGTTGGCCAGACTCTGAGCACGGTGCTCGCAGCGCTCGCACTCCTCCTTCGCCTCCACCTCCTCCTCCTCCTCCTCATCCTCCTCCTCAGGGCTTAGGGCTGGTGGCAGCGGGATCCATGGCAGGATGATGCCGTTCCCCCCGTCCCCCTTGCGGGGATGGCCGCTGGGGGCGCAACAGATTCAACCAGTGTGTTGATTTTCAGAATGGCGGTTGAAAAGACAGCGTGCCAGAGGGGGGGGGCCTCCAGGGGGGACGGGGCAACACGGTCCCCCAATCATTCCTGGGGGGGGAGAGAACGACGAAATGGAGACAACACAGGAGAGGACGAGTCTGTATTTCTCGGGGAGGGGGGGGAGTGGGGGGAAGGTAGCAGCAGTGGCGTGCGAATGGGAAGCTGCGGAGCGAAGAGTGGTCTCCTCCTCCTCCTCCACCTGTTCCTCCTGATCCTTCCCCTCCTCTCCGCCTCCACATCCCATCTCGCACCGCTGCTCCTCCTCTCTACCATCCGTCCTTCTCCTCCGCCCCCTCTTCATCCTTCTCCTCTTCCTCCTCCTTTTCCTCCTCCTCCGCGTAGGTTCGCGTTGTGTCGACCGGCAGCGACCCCGCCGCCGGCGCTCAACGTTGAACGCCGCCGGCAACGAAGAATCGGTCGATGTTGAACGATCTGACGTTTCGGAAGCGAACGATCGTTCAAGTTTGAGCGGTCCCCGCGGTGACAGTAACCAACGCCGGGGTCGTCACGACACGAACTTACCGCACCCCTTCTCCATCCCTTCCTCCCCCACTCTCGTCGACCTCATCCGAAGTCGATCTGGCTGCAGGTGCCGTCGTCCTCGCGAGCGGAAGGGTAGGCACCTTGTCTGGGGGCAGTGTCTCTGGGGTCGGAGTAGATGGGGTCGGAGGATCGAGACGCATCGCCAATACATCGGCGATGCATCGGCGATGCAACAGCGATGCATCGTTGACGTGGGCGATGCATTGGCGACGTCGACGTGAAACAAATCTGGCTCCACATCGAACCGCATTGGCGATGCATCGGCGATGCGGCGCGATCCTCTGACCCCATCCACTCGGACCCCATCTGTTCCCACATGCTGCAACATCTGCGCTGGGTGCGCTGCTACTCCTCCATGCCTCCAGCCTCAAGTATTTGTGGTACCATCACCCGCTTCGGTATTCCACGGATGGCCCCGTAGAATGAGAAATAAATGAGAAGAGAGGGAGAGAGAGAGAGAGAGACATAACAAAACAAGAAGGACAAGCGCCACGACAGCGAGGGCACCCATGGGAGGTGGTCTTGTCCGGGTGTTGATGGCAGTCTTCCGAGCACCTCCACACGCAGCAGGTCTCCGCCAGCCTCTGGTGGATGTCCTCCCGGGCAGCCGCTGGACATCAAGTGCTCCACGATGCGTGACCACCAGCCGCTGGACACCGAGCGGGTGGGCCTTCTCCATGCAGAGTTGGCCGAGCCCATCCCCCGCGTCGCCCAGGGAGCAGGAGGCCGCCTTCTTGGCCGAGGTCCAGAAGGGCTTGCAACGTTGCCTCCCCATGGGGGTCGGCCGGATCATTGACAGAAGGCTTCCCCCCCCCTTCTCAGGAGGGGAAAAAACACAGACACAATTAATCGTGGATTCCCCGGAAAATATAGGAACATACGGGAAGTGGGGGGGACGACAAGAACCCAGAAAATAGGGGAAAATATAGGAATATTGTTATTTGTGTCTATATATATATGTGTGTGTGTGTGTGTGTGTCCTAAGGCCCCTCCACCCTCTCGAGCCCGGGGGAGCAATGGTTTCCAAACGGTTCCACGAGCATACAGTTCGCCCCGTCGACCTGCAGCAGGGAGACCGAGATATTGCAAGCAGACCGTCCAGCAGATTGCAAGTCCCCGCGGGTTGTGTGCAAAGAGCGGGTTTCTCTTTGACTGCTGCCAGTGCTCTTCAGTCGGAACGTTCTCGCGGTTTCGGCGCGGCTTCCCCGCCGAAGCGCGGACCTCGGTCTGGGATCGACGCATTGCCCCCCCGCCGTTCTCGCCCCGCTCCGTTCCCTCTCCCTGCCCCCCCGTAGTCCTTCTGCTGCTCCTGTTCCTCCCGCTCCCGCTCCTGCTTCTGATGCGACTGGTCATGCTCGTCCTCATCTTCCTCTTCCTCCTGTTCATCCTCCTGCTCCTGCTGCTGCTCTTCATCCTCGTCCTCCTCTTCCTCCTTCTTCACATCCTCCTGCTTGTCGGCCACCTTCCCCTCCACTGTACGCAGCTTCCCGTTTCCGACTGCGCATTACATGCCTGGGGTCCGTCTGGGGGGTTCGGTTCCAGGTCGGCTATGACGCCCGTCGGCGGATATAGACAAAACAGCGGCGCAACGAGGAGGGATGCGCGGGAGGGGTAGGATGTCGGATATGGCGCGTGCGCACCTGGTTTGAGTTGGCCTTTCTCCCCTCTTCCCCCCCCCTCTCCCTCCGCTCCCAAATCCTCCCAGTCATCTCCGCGGTTCCCTTCCCCTTTCCCCTTCCTCCCCCTCTGCGTTCCTCCGCCCTCCCCTTCCACCGCAGCGGCCGCCCAGCTCCCTCCCCCCCCGCCCCCCTCCCACCAGAGGCCTCAAACGGTCTGGCCTTCCCCAGGGTAGGAGAGGAGGAGGAGGAGGAGGAGGAGGAGGAGAAGGAGGAGGAGGAGGAGGAGAAATGTAAACCCAAGACTCATCAACGAGATTGCGATAAACCTTCCCGCCAAGCTCCCTCTCCACAGGCCCCTACAAGGGTTTATTCTCACCCGGGGGATTGCCCCAGTTAGAAAAACAACCGTTGGAAAATCCGGAATTGCGTCAGAACGCGCGCCCTGGGACTTCAACGCCGAGAGTCACCGTGATTGTTGCGTCTTGAGGAGGCGGGGGAGGAGGAGGAGGAGAAGGAGGAGGAGGAGGAGGAGGAGGAGGGAGATGTGGAGGATGAGGACGAGGAGGAGGAGGAGGAGGAGCAGGAGGAGGAGCAGGAGGAGGAGGAGGAGGCGGAGGAGGAGGAGGAGGAGGAGGAGGAGGAGGAAGGGGACTGGGAGGATGAGGAGGAGGCGAGGACGCGGACGAGGAGGAGGAGGAGGAGGTGGAGGAGAAGGGCAAGGGAGGAAGAAGAGGACGGGGGAGCGGGGAGGAACGGAGGAGGAGGGATAAAGGAAGAGGTAAGAGGAAGGAGACAGGACGATGGTGACGAGAAAGGTGGTGACGATGAGGCGAGGGACCACCCGCCCACCCCGCATGCGTGGTGAGGCGGAGTCTGCTGCCACCGCCTCCAGGAAGAGGCGCCTGGAGGCCAAGGAGGCGGTCAAGGCGCAGAAGGCGCCCCCCGCGGCCTCGTGCGCCGCCGCCCCGGGTGCGACGGGAGCGCGCACAGTGTCTTCCTCGTCTTGCGCCACGGCCTCCTCCTTCCGAGGACACCGGGTCCCAGAGCTCCAACGTATTGAAAAACTCAAGACGGAGGTTTTTTATTAATTTCGGACCCTAGAGGACCTCGCCGGGCCTCGGGACCGTCGAAAAACGACTCAGGATGAAAAGCCGGTCCTGGGGAATGGGTCGAGACTTCCGGGGGCCCGCATTGAAAAAATCACGACGTGGAATTTCTGGGGTGCCGCGATAAAATGCAAGCGCAGCGTTTCGTGGTGTTTCCTCTCGTCTTTCTCCCCCCCCTCCTTTCGGCTGCCCCGACTGGCCAGACGCTGGAGCGGACTGCCTCTGCCTCGCCGCCAACGGAAAGATTTCGGGATGGTTGGCGCCGAAGGGGCGATCCCAGACCCCTGGATCATCACGTATGACACGATGGTCCCAGGGGCGATGTCGACAGGTCTGCGGCCCACGTTGTCAGAGATGATGTGTACCATCGAGGACTCCCGATCAACGTCTGCTTCCACTCGGGATGTGTAAAAAGCGCGGGTGCAGCCTGCGTGCAATGTGGTTCAATATGTGAAGTGTGGGATGTGTAACGCATCGGTCAAGTATGTGGGGTACAAATTGCGCGCTGCAACCGCTGTGTCCCAAATATTGCTTGAACAACTTGGAGCTAACAGATCCAATAATCAACAACACATCACCAAACCACCAAGACGCCACACCACGTCACACCACAGCACACGCGCACACACGCACACACACACACACCACCATCACCACCACCACCACCACCACCACCACCACCACCACCACCACCACCACCACAACCACAACCACAACCACAACCACAACCACAACCACGCACACAACCACGCACGCACGCGCACCACCACCCACTACGCACGCGCGCGGAGCCACAGGTCCGCTACGACACGCGTCCGCGGATAGAGAAAATCAGCGCCATGGTCAGGGATGGGAGGGAGGGGTAGGACGTCAGATATGACGCGAGCGCACGTAGCTTGCCCCTCCCCCTCTCTCTTTCCCCCTTCTCTTCCTGTCCCCGTCCCCCCTCTCTCCTGTCCTGTCCACCCCCCTCCCCCCATCCCTCTCTCCTGTCCCCCCCCCTCTCTGTTCCCCCCCCCCCTCTCTCTGTCCCCCCCTCTCTCTCTCCGCCCACCCCCCCCTCCCCCCCCTCTCCTGCCCCCCCACCTCTCTCCCCCCCCCCCCTCTCTCCTTCCCTCTCCCCCGTCCCCCCCTCCCCCCTTCTCTCTGTCCCCCCCTCTTCCTGCCCCCCCCCCCACTCCTGTTCCCCCCCCCCCCCTCTCTCCTGGGAGCTGGCAGGGTGGGGGGAGGTGCCGAGAACATAATTCGTCAGGTAATTACGCCCCCCCCCTCCCTCCCTCCCTGGCAGGGTGGGGGGAGGTGCCGAGCACATAATTCGTCAGGTAATCACGTCCCCTGTCCTTCCCTCCTTCCCAAGCAGAGCTAAAGCTTAGGCTGAAGCAGAGCTTCAGCGTAGACTTCTGAAACTCACACGCCGAATCGGCGGACTTACCCCCGATATCGCTTCTCTTCCTCCCCCTCCCTGGCACTCCACTGTTTCTAGTCTCCCCCTCGACTCCCCCAGAGGATTTCGCATGGGCGTCCCCTGGTGGCCCGTTTACCTCCCTTCTTCCGAAGCTGATGAGACCCCGCCAACACCCACCTCAAGCAACCGCAACAGATGCACCCCGCCATAAGAAGTATGGCCGAGACCGTCCTAGTTTTTGTAGGAGCCCATTTCTTCCCAGCCATCCTCTTCCTCCTTGTCCCTTTCTTCCAGAAACACATACCCCCCACACACACGCACGCACACCTCCCCATCCTCATCCTCATTCCCCTCCTCATTCTCATCCCCCTTCCCAGCCGTCCTCTTCCTCCTTGCCTCGTTCTTCCACACATGCATGCACACACACACACACACGCACACCTCCCAATCCTCATCCTCATGTCCCTCATCCTTCTCATCCCCCTCCCCCTCCTCTTCCCTTCTGCCTGGCCAGCCCGGGGCGCCCGAGACCTCCAAAGGACCCCCCGCGACAATTTGTCATTTGGCCAGCCAAGTTTATGGCAGCATCCTGGGGGTGCGTACTTCTTCTCGGTGATCCCCCCTCCTCCTCCTCCTCCTCCTCCTCCTCCTCCTCCTTCCGTAGCCATTTTGGCTCAAGCCATTTTGGCTCAAGTAATCCATGTCCCGAGGCAGCTGGCCAGGTCAGCTTCGGGGGGCTCCCAGCGGCGGCCCGACACCACAGGCCGCTGGAGCTCCCCCTTCTGGGCTAGTGCCCCACACCTCTGTCAATACGAATCTTTCTCCGCAGACACGACTTTGTTTTTCCGTATGGCTTCTGATGGCTCTGGCAGCTCTTCTGACGGCCGAGGGGACCGCGACGAGCACAGCCGCAGTGGGGGCGAGGAGCGCCCGCGTCGCCGCGCTCGGCGCAAGGCCTGGGCTGACGCTGGCAGAGGCCCCGCTGATCGGCCTGCCCTGCCCCCCACACGTGCTCCTGCCCATCGAGAGCGCAGTGAACGTGATCGTCTGCGGCGCGCCGACGGACCTAGCAGCCTGGCAGCCCCACCGCAGTGGGCTGGTGCAGGCAGCAGCTCTGGCGCCACCGCGGCAGCCAGCGCGACAGCTGCGGCCCCCCCTGCCCCAGACGCCCTCCAGACATGCGATCCCTGGCGGGGTGCAGCGGCAGTGGGGCCACAGTTCTCCACTCAAGAGCTGCGCGACATTGAGCGCGACTTCCAGGTGCTGGAGACGCAGGACGACACGGCCACGCCAGTCGGCGGCACGGCCACACCCTGCGAGCCTGCCGCTGGGGCGAGCGGCTCGCCCAGCACCATCCAAGACAGCCTCCTGGAGCTGGTCCAGGCCCGCATGGACTCCACGGTCAGCCAGCTCAACACCATATGCACGCAGTCCCTGGCCACCGCCCACAAGGAGCTGGTGGGCGCAATGGCTGGCTACATCGACCCCGTGCTCAAGAACGTCGCCCACCAGTCGAATGAGATCCACCAGCTCAAGCGACGCCAGTCCGACCTGGAGCAGAGCAACGTTGTCCTCCGCAAGCAGATCGGCGAGATCCGTGAGCAGCTGGCGATGGCGGAGAAGGCCCTCCCTGCGACCGACCTGGCCAAGCTCGCCGAGTACGACCGCGAGGCCGACCCGCTCCTCTTCTCGGCCAACTGCAGCTCAATGGTGGCAAAGAGCGCGGTCATGGCTAGCCTCTCAGAATGGTTTGGTGCCTCCACAGTGGCGCCCGAATATCTGGAGCTCGTTGGTGGCGCGGAGGTCCCCTCCAAACGCTTCTTCCTGCGCGTCAGGGGTGATGCTGGCGTTGGCGGAGCCCGCGCCCTTGCATTGGCGCGGGCGCTGCGGCTCCCTGGAGGCTCATGGAGATCCTTCCAAGTCAAGACAACTGACGGGCGCCTGGTCCCACTTCATGTGGGTGCTGACAAAGCCCCTCGCCAGATCCGCCGAGAGATGCACACCAAGAGGCTCCTCTCCTTGCTGCAGCAGTCCTTCGCCTCGGGTCGCCGCGACTGGACGGCCATCCGCCCGAAGGGTATCATCAGCGTCAACGCAGTGCCCATCATCGAGGTCGTCCCACAGGGCTTCCACGAGCCCTCGCGAATATACTGGCACCCCGAGACCACCCGCTACATCAACGACGACGAGCGGCAGAAGATCATCGACCAGTTTTGCGAGGCCACCACCTTCAACACAGAGGTGGACACCTCCACCTGGTCTTGCTCCTAGCCCACGCTGGACGCCCTGGGTATTGGCTGCTCCCCAGGGCCAGGGCGCCAGCACAACTCAGGCGCTCCGCATCGCATCGTGGAACGCCCAAGGACTTCTCTGCCAACGCGCACATCGCCGCAACAACAAGATGCAACGCCTCTGCAAGCTTCTCCAGATGCGCATGCTGATTGTCGTCCAGGAGGCGCACGGGTCAGAGATCAAGCTGCAGACGCTGCTGAACCAGACTCCTTACCACTACCGAGCCATCATGTCCGCGGGCGACTCCCCTGGGGCCGGCGGCCTCGCCTTCCTGATCCCGTGGTTCTCCGAGGCGGAGCTCACGACGATGGACCCCCAGCTGCTCCCCTCCCTCTCCTTGGACCCTGTGATCGATGGTCGCGTCGCGGTCCTCACTATCAGCAATTCGGTTAACAACGAGCACATCAAGATCATGAACATCCACAACCACGAGCTGCCCGCAGCCAAACTACCTCTCGTGCGCCGTCATTGGCTTGACGGAGCTGCATGGGCGCAAAGTGACGAACGGCATCGCATCTTCATCGCTATCGGGGACTTCAATATCGCTGACATTGAGCCGGTGCATCTCTCTTCCCCGAGCGTGGCCTCGACTTCGGCGCCAACACGGGGCACTGGGCGACGGAGGACTTCTGCTACTTCTTCCTCTTCCTCTTCCTCTACTTCGTCCTCCTCCTCCTCGGAATCCTCAGCGGAGATGGCTATGGGAGACTACCGACGTGCTGGTGGCAACAGCCGATCGGTCTGGCACCGTGGCAACCAAGCTCAGGGCTTCTGGCGCAACCTCTTCCAACGGGACATGGTGGAGGTGGTGAGCGAGCTGCCCACCCACTACTCCAAGCGCCACCAGTCGTGCACGTTCATCGACAGGGCCTTCATCTCCCTGAAGTCGCACTTCCTCCTGGACACCTCCGTCGCCTTCGAGATCTGGCAGGAGGCGACCTCTCTGGCAGACTGGGGTCTCAGCGATCACGCCATCATCCAACTGCGGATCCAGCCCCGCACCGCGGCTGCCCCCGACGACCGTGCGATCCCCCAGAGCGTCTTCCACTCGCCACGGTTTGCCAAGCACATCACCAACCTGCTCAACCACTCCGACTTCACGAACATGGCGGAGGAGAACCGGTGGGCCGAGGTGAAGCTGCAGATGATTGAAGCTGCTCGCATCACCCGCAATGAGCTTCAAGCCCTCCCCATCGGCGATGGTCATGCTGAAGCTCTCGAGGGCCGCAGAATTTCGACACGCGCGATTGCAAGAGCAATATGGAGACAGGACATGCACCTCGCGCACAAGCTGATCCACTCCACCGCCATGGGCCGAATGCACCTCACCATCGACGGAGACAACCGCATCCTGCTACTCAATCCTCCTGCATTCGAGCGAGAGTGCATGGACCTTCATCTCGCCTGGCACGAACACCAACAAGCTGCAGCAGCCGCCCGACTTCGCGAACATGCTCAACTGCAGCTCCACGCGGGCGACCCCACCATCCAGCAGTTGCGGAAGATACAGCGTGCCGCTCAACGGCGAGCCCTTCTTTGGATCCCTTACCGTCGTCGACTGGTGCTCAAGGGTCTCCGCATGGATGGCGAGGGACACCAGGCGGGCATCGAACGTCACCCGACCATGATCATGGATGGCTTGCGTCAGCACTGGCAGCCAGCTTTCACAGATCACCCAGTCGACATCAACGCGGTTGACGATTACCTGCGTACTCACCTTCCTGTGTTTGACAGCCCCGCTCTGGAGGTTCCTTCTCCAGCTGTTCTTCGCGCTGCGCTTCTTCGAGCCAAGCCCACTGCCCCTGGGCCTGACCGACTCCCTGCGGCGGCCTGGCTGGCGGACCCAAGGCTGGTGGACATCCTCTATGACATGATGATCGGCCTGTACCAGGGCAGGGGCGCGCCGCACGGCTTCAACTTCGCGGACATGGTCTTCATTCCCAAGGGTGACGAGCCCTCGGACTCTGTGGAGGTGGTCCGCCACGCGTCGAAGCTTCGTCCTCTGAGCCTCAAGAACTGTGATGCCAAGGCAGTGGCTAGTGCGGCGAACCATGTGCTCGCCCCTCTTGCGGCCGCACGAGTGCATGAAAGCCAGCAGGGCTTCGTGCGCGGACGGAACTTCCTGTCTCACGTCGTCCGTCAGGATGCGGTCGCTCGTGCTGCCAGCCACCACCCTGAGCTGTCCCCCCTCTTCGTTTCCTTTGACCTCAGGGCTGCGTTTCCCTCCCTTTCCCAGCCCTTCCTCTGGCGTGTGCTCGAGCGTCACCGCATCCCGAAGGGCTTCCTTAATGTAATCTCTGCTTTGTACTCTGGGGCTCTCGCCCACTCCCGATGCGGAGCATCCCGCCGTCCTCTCTTCATGGTGACGTCTGGCGTGGCCCAGGGCTGCCCCCTCTCAGGCACGATTTGGGCCCTGTCCATGGATCCCTTCGCCCGCCACATCCAGTCTCAGCTCATGTCGCCCGAAGCGCTGGCCCTCTGTCCGAGCCCCGAGCGCTGGTGCCCAAGACTAGAGCCTGAGTGCGGTGTGACGGCGGATGACGTTGGTGTCACTCTCCCCTCGATCCGACTTCTCCCCCTGCTCGTCCCACCCTTCACCGCCGCCCGCACGCTGGCGAACCTCGAGCTCCAGCCGGACAAATGCTGTGCCGTTCCACTGGCTGAAGAATGCACGCCCTGTGTCGCGGCACGTGTGAGCGCGAAGATAACTGCCCTGGCCCCAGAGTGGGCCTCCTTTCACGTCCGTGGCTGCACCCCGTTCCTTGGGTTCGCTTTTGGTCCTGGGGCGTCGCTGGCGGACCAGTGGACCGACCCAATTCGCAAGTGGCGGAGTCGCACAGCAGAAGTCGCACATAGCAGGACACCTGCAGAGGCAAGTTGCCGAGTATACAACTTCGGCATCCTCCCAGTCCTGAGCTACGTCTGTCAGCTCTACCCCCCTCCTCTCGCCCTCCTTCGCTCCGAGCGTCACGTCCTCCACCGCCTCCTCCGCCTCCCCCCGAATGCCTTCGGCCTGGGGGAGCTCCTGGGCCTTGGCTCCTGGCTCCGATCCTCGGTCCCCAGGTCCGTGCGGGTTCTGGCTGGGGCCTCTGCCTGGAGGACTGCGGCCTCCACCCTCCCCAGGGACGGCCCAAGGGGCTGGAGCCAGGCTTTGTCGATCCTTCGGGCCCAGGCCGAAATGCACGGACCGCTCCGAGCTCTTGGCTCTCGCGGTCTCTCGAGTGCTGTGTGGCGCCGCTCGCTCTCAATCGCAGAATTCTTCGAAGATGTGCTGCATGGCGGTCCGACAGGGATTGCCCGCGCCGCCTGGCACCGAGCGGAAGCTGCCGCTCGCCACGAAATAACAGACGCCACCGCCGCCGCCAGACGGCCGAGGCCCCAGCGTGCCCTCTCTCTGAGCCTCCATGCGTCCCTGTATCCCGACTCCTTTCCCTCTCTTCTCGCTCGTCGTATCTCGTCGTGGCTTCCCCTTGCTCCCCCTCTACCCATTGCCGACCTCACCAGCCGCTGGGAGGAGCTGCGACGAGTCCTCACTCGGAGCCCCCCGGCCTGGGCATGGGCCCACATCAAAACACTGGCGGGGGCCTGGACCACGGCTGCCCGTGTCCCGTGCGAGCCGCCCCGCCAGTGTCTCCTTGGTTGTCCCGACGCATCCGATGACTTTGCCCACTACATCTCCTGCCCTCGCCTCCTTCACCTTCTTGCTGTCCCTAGGGGCTTCCTCCCCTCCTGTCCCCTCACCCGCCTTGGGCTCGGGCCCTCGCCCGATGCTGAGGTCGAATACCCGCGTGCGCGTTGCCACCGCGTGGTCGTCCTCAGCTTTCATATCTATCATAAACTGAAGGCTGACCTGGCCTCCCACCCAAGGAGGTCGGCGACGCCATCCTACCACTACGAAGTACGAGCTGCCGCTCTCGCCGCAATGCGTCGATAGAGCATGCAGCAGTAGCTGAGTCACCGTCACTCAAGCTACGTGCGCTCCTCCTCCTCCTCCTCCTCCTCCTCCTCCTGCTCCTCCTGCTCCTCCTCCTCCTCCTCCTGCTGCTCCTCCTGCTCCTCCTCCTCCTCCTGCTGCTCCTCCTGCTGCTCCTGCTGCTCCTCCTGCTCCTCCTCCTCCTCCTCCTCCTCCTCCTCCTCCTCCTCCCCCTCCTCCTCCTACCCCTCCTACCCCTCCTACCCCTCCTACCACTCCTACCCCTCCTCATCCTCATCCTCCTCCTCCTCGCCCCTCCCGCCGATACGACGACCGCGGCCTTGTGCGGCGAGAGGTGGCGGCGTACAACCGCGCCATATCTGGCTCGGCGGGCGCCGCGAACGCGGCGGCCGATGCGGAGAAGGAGCCAGGGGGGGTGGGGGGCCGAGGGAGAGGAGGAGGAGGACGAGGAGGAGGAGGAGGAGGAGGAGGAGGAGGACGACGACGACGACGACGACGAGGAGGAAGAGGAGGACGAGGAGGAAGAGGAGGAGGAGGAGGAGGAGGAGGAGCAGGAGGAGGGATGGGAGGAAGGGAAGGAGAACTGGTTCGCTGGAATTCGTGGTTATCCGCAGTGCGGGTTGCGAGCTCCGCGATCTGGCACCCCAGGCGGCGGGCCACGGAGGACAGCCTCACGCCTGACAGTGCCCTGCCCACGAGCCAGGGACGCCCTCGACCGCCCCTGGCGGCCATGGAAACGCCCAGTTTGAATCGTTAGGAGGTTCTCAAGATCCTTCCCGGTGCGAGGTTTGCATACAACCGCTGCATGGCGTGGGTCCTCCGTGCCAGTTTTGCCGCACGCCATACACCAATGCAGCCCACAGTTTGGCCAGAAGCGAAACCTACACGAGGAGTAACAGACCTCACCCCCCCACCGTCACCAACCCACAGGCCCGCACCACCACGTGCTCCCCCAGACTCGAGAGGTCTTGGGGCGCCGCTCGACACGGCGTCCTGATGCACGTCGCCGCGCGATGACCAGGGACGATGCTGCGACGGAGGGCGCACAGCCACGTGCGCTCCGCGCGAACCAACAAGTGCTCGCTCCTGCGCAGGGCCAGTGTGTCATGGAGGCCCTCGGGGGCACGGCGGGCCACAGGAGGCCGCTCGGCACAGAGGCGCCACAGCGATGGAGTCCACCACAGGGATGGCCGCCCTGCGCCCGACCAGCGCAGCGCTACGGGAGAAGGAAAAGGAGACGGAGAACGAGGAGAGGAGAGGAGAGGAGGCGGCATACGATGAGAAAGAAGCGGAGCAAGGTGACGAAGAGGAGGAGGAGCAGGAGGAGGGGGAGGAGGAGGAGGAGGAGGAGGAGAAGGAGCAGGAGGAGGAGGATGAAGAGGGAGAGGGGATGGGGGAGAGGGAGAGGGAGGTGGAGGGACAGAAGGAGAATAATGAGGGGGAGGGGCAGAATGAGGGGTAGGGGCAGAAGGAAGGGGAGGGGCAGAAGGAGAGGAAGGAGGGGGAGCGGAAGGGGGAGGAGGAGGGGGAGGAGGAGGAGGAGGAGGAGGAGGAGGAGGAGGAGGAGGAGGAGACAGAGGGAGGACCAGAGAACACCAAAGATGCATCAAAGATGCTGCAACGCACCCTCCCGTCACGAGTCCCCTTCTCACCAGCCCCTACAAGGCGCTGTGTTGTCACTGCTGGAAGCGCCCCCCCCGCTTTGGCAGGAGGCATGGTGCGGCCTGTGGTGCCTCGTTATCTGAGGCCGTGAGGGCTTGAGGTCTTGGGCCGGACTCCGCTGTGAGGCTTGTGTCCGGGCGCGAGGTCCTGGACACGGCTTCGCTGTTGCAGGGGTTGTCAGTGCAGCGCCCGGCTGCTGTGAACTCTGCCCTGCTGCGTCCGCTCCGCACACTGCTTTGTAGAGTGGGTTTGCCGACTGTCCGTCTGAAGGCACGCCGTCTCGTTGCGGCCGGAACGGCATCTTGAGACGCAAGGGTACGGAGTGTTGATGGCGTGCTTCTCGTTTCGAAGCTTGTGCAGTTGCGCTGTGAGAGTGCAGTGCTACGGGTGCTGTGAGTATCGGAACCCCGTCGCCAGAAGGGGTGTGGACTACAGTGTGCAACGATTAGTAGGTCGACCCTGCCGAATCAAGGGTACCCTTGTGTCCTGTGTCCCGCGACCCGTGCCTCCTGCGTTCCTATGGCAATGTGGCTCTCTGCAGGGTCTTTTGTCCCCTCGCGTGTCCTGTCCAATCAAGTCCGACTGTAATACGGCGTCGCGTGGCCATGTCGCCCTAGGGGACGCGGTGCCTAGTGCGGAGTGGCTGCGAATCGCCGTGGGCGCGCGCCTTGGATGGCCCGTCGGGCACGGCCGAGAGTATCCAAAAAGTGCTCCCCCTCCGCGCTTGCCGCTGCCGATTGAGCCGCTGCTTCTGCGAAGTACTACTGACCCCTCCCTCCCCCTCCCCCCCTACCACTGCAGTCCCTCCGCCTCCTCCTCCTCCTCCTCGTCCTCTTCCTTCGCCTCCCCCTTCTCTTCCTCCTTCTCTTCTTCTTCCTCCTCCTCCTCCTCCTCCTCCTCCTCCTCCTCCTCCTCCTCCTCTCTCTCCTCCTCCTCCTCCTCCTCCTCCTCCTCCTCCTCCTCCTCCTCCTCCTCCTTGGCCCCAGAGCCCGTGGGCCGCCGCGCCAGGAGGCCGAGGTGGCCAAGATGCAGGCGGAGGTGCGGGCCGCGCAGGCGGAGGCGGCCAAGGCCCCCCCCCCGACCCGCGGGATCTCTCGGTGGGCCCTCGGCGGCCCTCGGCAGCCTGCGGCGCAGGCCTTCGGCGCCGCAGGCCGAGCAGTTTTCTTCGGGTGGGGGGCAAAGGGCAAAGTCTGAACTGCCGTCTCGATGAATTCTCGAGGCTCGAATCGCTGCAGGGGGTGAATCACAAGACGGACTGATCTCCGAGGTGCAAAAGCCAGTATGGATTTCGCCCCGAGCCCCCCCCTAAAGAGAATGCTCAGGCAGGGCTCGTTTCGATGCCTTCGATGCGACCCGATTCGATTTCGAGGGCTGCCGATTCCGCTTCGGCTCGGCTTCGGACTCTGGTGTGGGCTCCGAGTCGTGTTTGGAGGCCTGCCGGACTGCCAGTTTCCGCCGCTCCGCCTCTGAACGCCTTGACCCCTCCGATTTCCGCCGATCCAGTCATTTCGACGATCGCCGGTCCGAGTTGTCGATTCGATCCTGGGCTCTCCTGCCGCCGGGCTGCCGACATGCCATGTCGCCGAGTCGCCTCGGACTGGCCGCGCCGTGTACGGCGGCGTCTGTCCGGCCAGAGCCGACGACGACGGCAACGACGCCGACGGCGACGACGACGATGACGACCACGCCGACGGCGACGACGACGGCGACAGCGCCGACGAAGACGACGGCGGCGACGACGACGACGACGACGACGACGACGCCGACGACGGCGGCGACGGCGACGACGACGACGACGACCGGCAGCCATCGGCGGCCTGCGGCGGCCCGCGGCGGAGTCCTGCGGTGGCCGTCGGCGGCGGTGGTCGCCGGCGGGCCTGCGGGGCCTCTTTGGGGGGCGGCGGCGGGGCCGCGTCCGCTGCGTCTCGCCGCCCCTCCTCGAGAGGAGGAGGAGGAGGAGGAGGAGGAGGAGGAGGAGGAGGAGGCGGAGGAGCGGAGGAGGAGGCGGAGGAGGGGGAGGAGGAGGAGGAGGAGGAGGAGGAGGAGGGGAGGAGGAGAGGAGGAGGAGGAGGAGGAGGAGGAGGAGGAGGAGGAGAGGAGAAGAGAGGAGGAGGAGGAGGAGGAGGAGGATGAGGAGGAGGAGGGAGGAGGAGGGAGGAGGAGGAGGATGAGAGAGGGAGGAGGAGGAGGAGGAGGAGGAGGAGGAGGGGGGGAGGCTGAGGAGGAGGAGCAGGAGGAGGCTGAGTTGGAGGAAGATGGGGAGGAGGAGGAGGAGGAGGAGGAGGACGAGGACGAGGAGGAGGAGGAGAAGACCCTTCGAGCGGTGCTCCAGGGGTCACCTGGCTTTAGCTTGATGAGCCCCCCCAGGGCCGACTGGCCCTGGGGGGGGGGGCTACGATCGACGATCTTTCCAGCCATCAGGAATCGGGAATCAGGAATCAGGAGGAGGAGGAGGAGGAGGAGGTAGACAGGGCTGGGAGAGGACAGAGCCAATACGCAACATGAAGCAGCCAGACCTACAGCATGCATCATACATTCCGGCTGCTGGCGCCTGGATGCTTCCTCAGATTTGCTCAAGACTGTTAGCCAAAGCCCACGAGGAATACGCTCTACATGTTCAAATCCACTGGGTGTGAGTCTACGCTTGAGAAGCCGTATAAACCCAAAACTTCCACCGCCACGGCAGTACTAGTACCGTGGGTTCAAGGTGCGGTGGTACTGCAGGTTATGGGGTTCATGGGCGAATCAGCCCGCTATGTGGAACGGGACTTATGGTGGCTCGAACCAGAGAGCGCTGTTATAGCAGGTTCAGTCGGATCGCTGAAGCAGGAACCCTTTTCCGCTGGGGAGGGGCTCAGTGCTCCGGACTCGTTGCGCGGTCTGTCCTAGATGCTCCTCAAGTTTTTCTGTGGGAAAGCGCAGTTGAACGTATAGGCCTCGTTCCTGTGCACGGTCCTTTTATTACAGTTGTTCGACCGTCGGTTCGAAGCATGGGGTCGATATCTCCACTGCGCCAGCGGGGCCTTCGGCGCCGACCCTCCACACCTCGAGCATCATCCCCGCCTCGTGTGTCGCCCAGGCAGCGCGAGGTCGAGCAGAGGGAGAGAGAAGCAGCAGAAGGGGGACCACGATAAGGGGAGGCCGTCGGTTTTTCTTATCCATTGTTTTGCCGATCGGCGCGGGCCCTCGCACCCTCTCCCCCCCTCCCTCCGCCTGGGAGCGGATCTTGGCTGTTTTTGGAGTCTGTTTCGAGCAGGTGGGGTCTCCCCCAGAGGACGCGCTGCTGCAAACAGTCGCACTAAACAGAGCTCCAGAGCCAGACCCCCCCCTACCCCCCCACCTCTTCCGCCCAATGCCGAAACGGCGAATCAGAAATCGTTCACATAGGGTGGGGGTGCGATGCTCTTTCCAGCTCGATCTTTGGCGCCGCCGCTTCGGCGGCCATCGAATCAAGCGTCGATCTGAGAATGCGCATTCTGACGAACCTTGCTCGACGCTCGTACGGCATGACTTGCTGGCGGGCAGAGATAGGGAGGCGAGCTTCTTTGGCCGCCAGGGCGGCTATATCATCCACCACATGTTTGCTTGTGATCATCCACCGTGGCGATTTCCGCCGCACCACGTCCTGACTTGTCAAGTGAGACTTTATAAGAATGGTGGCTGCCAGAGGCGTAAGCAACCATCTGTCCCATATGGGGCTCAAAGGTATTGATCGGGACCCGTTGGTTCAAGATACCTCTGTGCATGCCAACATAGCACCGCCGACTCGCAAACTGAAATAACGACTATTGCGCCAGAGGTGCACTAGACTGTGAAAAGCAACGCTCTAAGTTCGCCTCGCGCCACTACCTATCTGTGCCCCACCACTGGCCCGCGGACGGTGGCACGAAGATCGAAATTGGATTCGAGATGTTTCGACGACTGCGACGCCGAGGCCAACGCGTCGAAAGACAGGCATGCTGGTGTCGTCACGGCCGCTGGCATCACCGAAGATACGAAACGGTACCGTCTAGGTGCCTCCACGAACGCATCTTGCCACGACATCGTCATTCATGGCGGACGTCCAACGCTCGTCTTGTGGCGGAGGGGATACCATCGTCGACGGCTTCGGCATCAACCCTCTGATCCAAAAGCAAGCGTCCGACTCCTGCGCAATCGCCCGTGAGACGAGGTCAGCGGAGTCGTCCCAGGAAGGGTTGTGATGATGATAATGATGATGTTGCTGATGATGATGCTGCTGATGATGATGATAATGATGATGATTATGATGATGGGGAGGAGGAGGAGGAGGAGGAGGAGGAGGACGAGGAGGAGGAGGAGAGGAGAGGAGAAGGAGGAGGCGGAGGAGGAGGAGGAGGAGGAGGAGGAGGGAGGTGGCGAGGCACGGCGCGGCACCTTTGGCCGCGACGGAGGGGGGGGGCTCTCGCACACAGGGCTCACAGAGGGGAGCGGCACGCTGCGCTGCGAGGATGGAGGGGGCCGAGGTCCTTCGAGGTCGTTCGGCGACCGATGCTAGGAGGAGGAGGAGGAGGAGGAGGAGGAGGAGGACGAGGAGGAGGAGGAGGAGGAGGAGGAGGAGGAGGAGGAGGAGGAGGAAGGAGGAGAAGGAGGAGGAGGAGGAGGAGGAGGAGGAGGAGGAGGAGGAGGAGGAGGAGGAGAGGGGGGGGGGGGGGGAGGAGGAGGAGGGAGGAGGAGGAGGAGGAGGAAGGAGGAGGAGGAGGGAGGAGGAGGAGGAGGAGGAGGAGGAGGAGGAGGAGGAGGAGGAGGAGGAGGACGAGGAGGAGGAGGAGGAGGAGGAGGAGGAGGGTGGAGGAGGAGGAGGAGGAGGAGGAGGAGGAGGAGGGGAGGGGGGGGAGGAGGAGGCGGAGGAGGAGAGAGGAGGAGGAGGAGGAGGAGGAGGAGGAGGAGGAGGAGGAGGAGGAGGGAGGAGGAGGAGAGAGGAGGAGGAGGAGGAGGAGGAGAGGAGGAGGGAGGAGGAGGAGGAGGGAGGAGGAGGAGGGAGGAGGGGGAGGAGGGGGAGGAGGATGAGGAGGAGGGAGGGGAGGAGGAGGAGGAGGAGGAGAGGAGGAGGAGGCAGGAGGAGGAGGAGGGAGGAGGAGGAGGAGGAGGAGGAGGAGGAGGAGGAGGGGGGGGGGGGGAGGGGGAGGGGGAGGAGGAGGAGGAGGAGGAGGAGGAGCAGGTGGTGGTGGTGGTGGTGGAGGGAGGAGGGGGAGGAGGTGGTGGAGGAGGAGGAGGAAGAGGGGAGGAGGAGGAGGAGGAGGAGGAGGAGGAGGAGGAGGAGGAGGTGTGGGGAGGAGGAGGTGGAGGAGGAGGAGGAGGGGAGTCGTTCGACGACCGAGGCTTCTTGGGACCGGGCCTCGGCAGTCCCCCGGCCTCGGGATGTTCTCCAGCAGCGCTGCGCCTCCCCGAGGGTGCTTCGGGGGTGCCCGGATCGTCCCGGAGGGCCGCCGGGGCCCCGAGCTCTGACCCGAAGGCAGATCACAAGGGGCGTCCGCCGCTCTGTCGGCTCGGCCGTGTCGCAGTCGGCTGCGCTCGGTCGGCTCGGTAAGCACCAACGTGCACGTCGTGGCCTCGTCGCCGCGCCTCTCTGGGCTGCCTGCAGTGGCTTCGGCTCCGGTTCCGCTGTCGGTGCGGTCGGTTTCTGGGCATGCTGTCGCCGCGGGCGGCCCTGGGAGCAGTCGGAGGGCCGATGAGGAGGGAGAGGAGGAGGAGGGGGAGGAGGAGGAGGAGTAGGAGGAGGAGGAGGAGGAGGAGGAGGAGGAGGAGGAGGAGGAGGAGGAGGAGGAGAGGAGGAGGAGGGGGAGGACGAGGGGGAGGAGGAGGAGGAGGAGGAGGAGAAGGAGGAGGAGGAGGAGACGAGGACGAGGACGAGGAGGAGGAGGAGGAGGAGGAGGAGGACGAGGAGGAGGAAGACGAGGAGGAGGAGGAGGAGGAGGAGGAGGAGGAGGAGGAGGAGGAGGAGGAGGGGGGCCGAGGAGGCGGAGATGCGAGGGACCGAGGAGCAGTACTAGCATGAGTGTGGCCATGAGATTTTTCCGTCTCAGAGGAGGAGACCGTGCAGGAGGAGCAGGCGATGAAGAGTCGGAGCCCCAGGTGGGGCAGCACAGGGGGGCACCAGCACCAGGAGCAGCGCGACGACGGCGAAGGGCGGCCCGTGGATAACGCCGGGGCCGCCGGTGGGCCCTGTCGCCGAGTCGCCTCGGCGAGGCCGCGCCGTGCACGGCGGCGTCTGTCCGGCCAGGGCCGGCAGCGACGAAGACGCCACGGCGACAATGGCAACGACGACGACGACGACAACGACGACGACGGCGGCGACGACGACGACGACGGCGACGACGGCGATAGCAACGACGACGACGACGACGACGACGACGACGACGACGACGACGGCGACGACGACGACGACGACGACGGTGACCACGGCGGCGACGGCGGCGACGGGACTGGACGGCGTGAGGCCGCGGCCGCGGAGCGGGCTGCCGAGCGGGCCAAGCGCGCCGCGGAGCAGGACCCCCTCGTTGCCACCGTGATCGCCGCCGTCCGTGGCGTTCTCGTTGCCGTCGTCGTCGCGCCTCCTCCCCCTCTTCCTCCCCCCCCCTCCCCCTTCTCCTCCTCCTCCTCCTCCTCCTCCTCCTCCTCTCCTCCTCCTCCTCCTCCTCCTCCTCCTCCTCCTCCTCCTCCTCCTCCTCCTCCCTCTTCCTCCCATAACCTCCTCCCTAAACCTCCTCTTCCTCCTCCTCCGCCTCCCTAGACCACCTCATGTCATGTTGGGTCTGCTCGTCTTTCTTCGCCTCCTCATTCCCGTCATCCTCCTGATCCTCCATGTCCATCCCCCTCCTCTAAAACCACCCCATCCGCCCACTCGTCCTGCACTCCTCCTCTTCGGCGGTTTTCGGATTGTTTCGGAGGTGTTGCAGGCTTTCTCCACGGTTTTCATCAGGGTTTGAGTGGCTCCCGGCTGTTTGCGGGGTCACAGCATGTTTCCAGGCGGCCCAGGTGTCTCCGGTGGGCCCCACATGCTTATGTTGGTATCCAGGTATAGGAGGCAGAGAAAGAAGAGCAGTGGGTGGCTACGTGGACTTCACTCGGAGTGCATATGCATCTTGGTACGTCTAGAGCGCCAGGATGTAATTAGGCAGCGGCGTACTAGCTCGTAGGATATGGACTGCCATTCCAAAGGTTTGTTACAGCGGCTAGGGACGGCAAGTACACATGACCCTGAATGGCCGATGTGCGCACTCGACCAGAAGGGGGGCACTGGGCAGCGATTGCCGGCGTGGAAGGCGGCAATGAGTTGTGAGCAGGGTTAGTATGAAATATGCAAATGGTGGATTACCGAGCCAACTTCAAACATCATAAGTTTCGATCTGTGGTCCGATGGACAGACGTGTGCAACTGTGATAGTTTTAGACTCTACGATCAGTCGTTGATTATGCTGCGGGCAGCAACTGCAACGAATAACGCACGAGTTTCTGAGGGACTAGAAACAAAGGCAAGCTTTTGAGAAATTTGCTGTTATGGAGTACGGCACGATGCGTGTATACGATCGATAGCTCAACGGCGAAATCAGACACAATATCAATGGCGGCACCAACACCGCGGCCAGTGGCGGCAATTTGGCCGACAGGGCGGCCCATGCCAGTGACTTAACCGCAAGATTGACTAGATTGACAGTGGTCCGAGGATGCCGGTTCCACCGGCAACATCGTCAACCTGAGTATACGGTTTCTTGAAGCGCCCATCCACTCAGCCAAGCGGCATATCAGTGGCGGTCGAGAAAACGCGGAGGAGGGAAGGAGGAAAGCGAGTCACAAGGACCGCTGGAGGCAGAGGAGCAGGCGGAGAATGATGGATCGGAGGAGCAGGATGAGGGAAGGTGGAAGGGGAGGAGGGCCATGCGGTCTCTCTCTCTCTCTCTGTCTCTCTCGCGTTGTGTATCCCCCTTCCTTTTCTCATGCGTATGTTATTCACCATCGCCCTCTACGACATGCGACGTGTTGGTCTCGGTCGAGGCACGGATTGTCCCTGCAGCACCCATAAGACGTCGAGCGTGACCGACCGAAATCGCAAGTGTCGCCGGCACTGTGAGAGAAGGAAGAGGAGGGGGCGGAGAAGGAGGAGGAGGAGGCTGAGGAGGAGGAGGAGGAGGAGGGAGGAGGAGGAGGAGGAGGAGGAGGAGGAGGGAGGGAAGGAGGAGGAGGAGGAGGAGGAGGAGGAGGAGGAGGAGGAGGGGGAGGAAGGAGGGGAGGAGGAGGGAGGAGGCTGAGGAGGAGGAGGGAGGAGGGAGGAGGAGGAGGAGGAGGAGGAGGACCCAGGCACGCAGGCCGTTACCTTGCCGCTGGCGTGCGACAGGGAGAAGATAGCTATAATGAGAATGGAGGGGGGGAGGGAGGCGGAGGCGCGGGGGCTGGGATATGGAGGAGGAGATGGTGGAGGAGGAGGAGGAGGAGGAGGAGGAGGAGGAGGAGGAGGAGGAGGAGGAGGAGGGGGGAGGGAGGTGAAGGAGGAGATGGTGGAGGAGGAGGAGGAGGAGAGAAGGAGGAGAAGGAATAGGAGGAGGAGGGGGAGGACGAGCAGGAGGAGGTGGAGGAGGAGGAGGAGGAGGAGGAGGTCCCGGCACCCCAGGAGGCGGAGGCGCCCCAGGAGGGAGGGCCTCTATCGGACCAACACCGCTCGTGCCGATCTCAAGCCGGGGCTCCTGGGTGCCCAGGCCCCCGAGAGGTGGGCCGCCCCGATCGCTCGGTCTCGCGCACTCTCTCTCTCTCTCTCGCAGAGGGGGGCTGTTGAGCCCAAGGCGGGGCAGTAGGGACCGAGCCCCATCCGACAGGAGCCGCCCTGAGCGGTTTTCCTCGGGCCCCGCCTCCGGGCCCAGCCCACCTGTACAGCCCACCCGCAGAGCAAGGATGGGCGACCTTGCCAAGGGTACCCTTGCATCATTGCCTCCTCGGTCCATCCTGGGCCACTTTCGTCGGCCGCGCCACGCTCGAGCAGCTTCGACATGGCCTTCCACGGCCCTGGCATCCCTATCGCGCATCCTGATGATACAGGCCGGCCGTAGAGCCCCCCCCCGTCGACGAGACGCCAGGCCCGATCCTCCCCGCTCGGCCACGGGCCGGGCTGGAGAAGGGGGGAGCCCATGGTTAAGTCGGGCCTGCCCCTCTATAGGGGCAGCATTCCAAAATAATGAAAGATAGCCTGGGGATTTGTTTTGACAATTTCCCCCAATCAGTGCTTGCACTGAAGGCGTCCTAGCGGAAGTTGAAAGATTAGGCGAAAGTTTCCCGCCGATTTTGGTAGCAGGCCGGGTTCCCAGGTTCCCGGTTTCGGGTTCTCGAATCAGCGTTTGCATTGAAGGGGTCTTAGCGGAAGTTGAAAGATTTGGCGAAAGTTTCCCGCCGATTTTGGTAGCAGGCTGGGTTCGCGGGTTCTTTGTTCCGGACTCCCGGGTTCTATTAATAGAACCCGGGCCGGAACCAATTGGTTCCGGGCCGATGTCGGTGGGTTCTGGGTTCCCGGGCTCCTTGGCTCCCGGGTTCCCGGTCGATCTCCTCCTCCTCCTCCTCCTCCTCCTCCTCCTCTTCCTCCTCCTCCTCCTCCTCCTCCTCCGCATCCTTCTCCTCCTCGTCCCTCCTCCTCCCCTCCTCCTCCCCTCCTCCTCTTCCTCCCCCTCCTCCTCTCCTCCTCCTCCTCCTCCTCTTCCTCTTTTCCTCCTCCTCCTCCTCCTCCCCTCCTGCACCCCCTTCTCCTCCTCCTCCTCCTCCTCCTCCTCCTCCTGCTCCTCCTCCTCCTCCTCCTCCGCCCCCTCCTGCCCGTCGGGGCGTGCTCTGCGCCTCCTGTCGCAGAGCGCGCCGCACCCGCGACGAGCGGGGTACCGCACATGTCCGGGCGGAGCGGCGGCGGCCCCGGCACCGGCCCGCTGCCGCGGGTTTTTGTGTTGCGTTTTGCCGCCCAGAGCACCGTTCCGTTGTCTTGGGTCGGCGGCGAGCGAGGGGGCAGGAGGAGGAGGAGGAGGAGGAGGAGGAGGAGGAGGAGCACGAGGAGGGGGAGGAGGAGGAGGAGGAGGAGGAGGAGGAGGAGGAGGAGGAGGAGGAGGAGCACGAGGAGGGGGAGGAGGAGGAGAGGAGGAGGAGGAGGAGGAGAGGAGAGGAGGAGGAGGAGGAGGATGGAGGAGGAGGAGGGAGGAGGAGGAGGGGAGGAGGAGGAGGAGGAGGAGGAGGAGGAGGAGGAGGAGGAGGAGGAGGAGGGAGGAGGGGGAGGAGGAGGCGGAGGAGGAGGAGGAGGGAGGAGGAGGAGGAGGAGGAGGAGGAGGAGGAGGGAGGAGGAGGAGGAGGAGGAGGAGGAGGAGGAGGAGGAGGAGGAGGAGGGGGGAAGGAGGAGGAGGAGGAGGAGGAGGAGGAGGGAGAGGAGGAGGAGGAGGAGGAGGAGGAGGAGGAGGAGGAGGGATGTGGAGAAGGAGGAGGAGGAGGAGGAGGAGGAGGAGGAGCAGGAGGAGGGGGAGGAGGAGGAGGAGGAGGAGGAGGAGGAGGGGAGGAGGAGGAGGAGGGAGGAGGAGGAGGAGGAGGAGGAGGAGGCGGAGGAAGGAGGAGGGAGGAGGGGAGGGAGCAGGAGGGGGGGGAGGAGGAGGAAGAGGAGGAGGAGGAGGAAACAGGAGGAGGAGGAGGAGGAAGAAGTCCCTGGCAGCACTTTTCTTCACTGCGCGAGGCGCCGACTCGAAAAAAGCAAGCGTCCCTGGGGCCCCGCAGTGCAAAGCTGCGGGAGCTCCATCTTGAGAAGAGGTGGCTGCCCTCCACGCTTCGAGCTGTGATAGGCGGCGAGCTAGGGTGGGGGAACTTCGAGGTTCGAACTTCGAGGTTCAAGGTTTTCAGGGCGTTTTCGTCGGTTCTCGGCGGTCTTCCAGCCCCAGGATGTTTGCCAGCAGCTGCGCCTCGCCGAGGGCGCCCCGGGGGTGCCAGGATCGTCCCGGACGGCCGCCAGAGTCCCGAGTTATGACCCAAACACCGAATTCGGCGGCGCGCGCAGGGGGGGAAGTGGGAAGGAGAAGGCCATGTCAGAAGACGGCGGAGCTTCTCGGAGAGCCCCCGCGCCTTCTGAGAGGCTTTCTGCGTCTTAAGGGAAGGCTTGGGCAACTTCTCAGAAGGCCGGGGGGGGGGCTTCCGAGCCTTCTGAGAGGGGCCGCCACTTCTCACTTCCCCCCCGCGCTCGCCGCCGACTGTGGCCTGGTAGTCGGGCGCCAGGGAGGAGGACGAGATTCCACAGGCACGCCCGCTCTCCAAGTACGCTATCCCCTCGTGGAACCTACCAAGCGACTCTGCCGGCAGTGCGCCACCAAATACAGACTTGCAGGACATGTAGAGGGACGACGCTGACTTCCGCGTAGACGTCACCATCGTCAACCAGTATCTCCACAGCAAGTTCAAGCTACGCACTATCACACGTAACCCCAAAACTACCAGATCAATCGCAATCGTGGCATAGTGGCTATATCCTTTCATGGAAAGAGACTGGACAGTGGACAAACAACATGCAGCGGCCGTACTCGACATGATCAGTGGACAGGAGCCAGGTACACAGCACTTTGTGGAAGCCTTTTCTGTTCGCCTGCTACAGCAAGCTCAAACACCAACATTGTACACCCACAAGCACTCCACCAAACCGATCAGACAAGCACGCTTGCACAGGGAGAGACACCGACATCTGCAGCGCAATCAACACCGCACAGACAAGATAAGGACCGCAGTCCGCAACACCCACCACCACCTTAGCTAAACAATCATGTTGTTAGCCCGCCTCCAGGCATACAACCAACTCAGCAGGTCAACGACGTGGACGGCCCACTGCTACATCAATATCGCGGCACACTCCGTGCTCACCAACAGAACTTCAAAGCTCCAACAGAAGCAATTGCCAGACGCAACGCGCAGCTCCAAGCGGCTCGCAGTCACACTCACGAGAGCACAACATCACGCACATCTCCACCGACTCCCAAATCAACTTTCTCGACACTTCGACAAGGACACGCACCATACCTGGTCAGCATGTTTCCGACCTCACGTCATCGAAGACAGGTGTCTTCACCACTACAGTGCGGCGGCCAGGATAGGGTCTCCGACCTCACATCTTCGAAGACAAGTATTTGCGGCACTGCAGTGACGACAATTACATCCACACCTGGCAGGCTGTCTATGTGCTCCCCTTTCTACCCTATCCCTGGCAGTGCTTCTTCCGTTCCGCTGCCATGTTTCTGCACTGTGTCGGTTCACTTCTCTGCGGGTTGTCCTCCACACATTTCAGAGGGAGGGTTGGGATCATCACATCGGGCCCTCTCCGGAGCCAAAGCGACGGCCCCGCCGCAGGCAGGCTCTCACCATTGTTTCCCCGTGTTTGCCGCATCGTGGTTGCTGTCGAAGCCGCGTAGGCCAGATCCCACACCCTGTGCAACCACAGTCGCGTTCTTCATTGCACGTTCCTCCACTTTGCTCCACGGCGAGGCAGTGTCAGCCACACAGCGGGGTTGGGGGGTGGCGGGGTGGGGCGGGTTCTGTTGGCTGGGAGGGGGCATACGTGCACGCAGCCCGCACTTGAACACGCTCCCCCCGAAGATCTCTGTGCAAGAGCCTTCCTCGTACCCTGAGAACCTCTTGCCACATGTGGTGTTACTGCTGCGCCTCACTGCTCCGTGAACCGTTTTCATTCTCACCGCTCGCATCTGACCCGCATGGTGTTATCTCCTGTCCTCTGGACAAGCCCGGTGCTGGCCCCACGGTGTTTGTGCTGTGAGGCCAGCTACCAAACAGGTCAGCCCACAGTAGCAGCCAGCCTCAACTCCTACGCAGGGGCTTACGGAGCACCCCCCCCACGCCATCTGTCATCACCAGTAGGCCAATTGAGAGGAGTGTGAGGGGGGGATGATCTGGTCGGCTGGATGGATGTTGGCAGATCGCCCCGCGTTGGAGTCAGGGACAGGGCCCCGCGGCAGTAATCTTCCCACGCATTTGCCATACTGGTTGATGTTGAAGCCACGTAGGCCAGATTCCACACGATGTGCTCCACGGCCAGGCAGTGCCAGCCACATTGTGGAATTGGGGATGGTGTTGGGCATGGACGAGGAGGAGGAGGAGGACGAAGCGAATATGCTCTCCAAGCGCGCCCCCCTCTCCATGCCCACAGGCACTAGAGTAAGATGGAAGGGGTGCTGGGTTACGACGTGGTGTGTGTAGGAGTTCTTGTATATATTGCAAGTGTGGCCTCGACGGAGGGGTGGATGCCCTACTGTGGGTCGTCCTATATCAGACCCCTTGACATGCCATGTGGCTTTCACCCTATTCCATTCGGTGCTATCAAACCTTCAGCTGCCCCTACGACGTTCAGTCGAGGCTTCACCATTCAAGTCTCAAAAAACGGAGCCTCTCTGGTCGTTTTCACTTGCCGCACCTGACACTCAGACTCGGGCTTATCAGCTGCCTCGCGTACTCCTGAGGCTGAGGTCCACGGGAGCCCACGTTGCACACTATGCACGATAGCATGTCTCTCGCACTGCAGTCTGTGCACGCGTATGTCGATCCTTTTTTGTTCGATGTTCCCGTGTTGATGTTCTGCGTTTTGCTACGGTTGGTTCCCTCTTTCTGTCTCCGCCTGGCCTGCGTATTTCTCTGTGTTTTTGCTGGCCCGTTGTCCTTATTTGCTGCCCCTGGCGCCGTTGCGTTTTCTGCTGCGCCCGCCGGGCGTAATCTGCTGGCACACGGGCCCAAGCCCGTAGTGTGTCGCGTTTCTGGTGCCTCGTTGGCCCAGCCTCACTGGAAGAACGCAACAATCCACATGCCCGTGTATGGCCAACGTCAGAACGGGGGAGGATGAGACAGAGGAGGAACGAGGAAGAGGAGGAGGAGGCGGAGGAGGAGGAGGAGGAGGACTGGTGAGAGAGGAAAAGGAGGAGGAGGAGGAGGAGGAGGAGGAGGAGGAGGAGGAGGAGGAGGAGATCGACGACAACGAGAACATCGATGAATTTCCTGGCGCAGGCGAGATCGGTGAGGAGGAAGGGAGCGACGGGGCGTCTCCAGATTTTCTTTCCCCTCCTCAATCCTCTTCCTTCGTTCCTTTCCCCCACCATTCATTGTCTCGTAGGACGCCGAGGGCAGGGTTTGCAGTATATAGAAAGCAATCAGAGCATCGTCCAGATGTGTGTGCTTGTGGTGCTGTAGACGTCGAAGGAGGACATGGCCGACCAGCAGGTAGTGTAGGAGGACGAAGACTGCGAGGAGGAGGAGGAGGGCGACGAAGAGAAGGACAAAGGCGATGAGAAGGAACATGGAGATGACGAGGAGGGTGAGGAACACGACGAGGAGGACATGGAGGACGAGCAGGACGAGGACGAAGACGAGGCTCTGATGATGACAGAGCGGAGGACGAGGATGAGGCGGAGGAGGGGAGGAGGACAGGAACGAGGCGGAGGAGGACGAGGCGAAAAATGCTGCTGATGATGATGATGATGAGGAGGAGGAGGAGGCGAAGGAGGAGGAGGCGAAGGAGGAGGAGGGGGAAGATGACGACGAGGAGGAAGACGAGACGGAGAGGGAGGAGGAGGAGGAGGACGACGAGGGCACCTGCCGCCGCAGGAGGAGGCTGGCGAGGGCCTGGACGCTGCGGAGGCCTTCTTCGCCGCGCGCCGGGCGAAGCAGGCGAAGACCGAGGCGGGGGGCGGCGCAATTGCAGCGATGGATGGGCCCGCGGCCGGGGGGTGAGTCGGGGCTCCAGAGACGGGGGTCCTCCTCCTCCTCCTCCTCCACCTCCTCCCCCTCCTCCTCCTCCCTCCTCCCCCTCCTCACCACCGCCTCCTCCTCCTCCTCCCCCTCCTTCTCGTCTTTCTCCTCCTCCTCCCCCTCCTCCTCCTCCCCCTCCTCCTCCTCCACCTCCTCCTCCTCCTCCTCCTCCTCCTTCTCCTCCTCCCCCTCATCCTCCTTCGTCTCCTCCTTGCAACCGTGGGGCAGCCAGAGCGCCGGATCTTGCAGGATCCTGCAGCGTCACCGTCGCACTGGCCCAGGCTTGATCCTGCAGGATCCGGATTGGCCCTGGTCCTGGATCGATTTGGGGGGACTGGTGGTCCTCAGGACGCGTGCTGGCCCAATGTGCAGGTCTTCCGTGTTTGCTCGCCCTTTTTGTTGCCCTGTCAGTTGGCCCCAACATTCGGCGCACGCTCGGTAGTAAGCTGCGTAGCGCACCCCACACCCCGCGCCCCGCTTTTGCGTTCGCTGAGTTGGACCAGCCAGCCTGGAAGCAAGAAAGTGTGATGGCCCGGTTTTGCACCACCGCCACCAGAGGCAAGACGGGGAAGAAGGCAGGACGGGGAGGTCCTCCTCCTCCTCCTCCTCCTCTTCCTCCTTCTCCTCCTCCTTCTCCTCCTCCCTCTCTTGCCTGTGTTAGCGGTGGGGGAAGAGCGGCCCATCAAAATGCGCCTACCCCGTTCGGCTCCGCCGATGGCTCGCCGCCTGTGCTGGCTGGCCCTCTCTGCACCGCCCGCGTGGTGCTGCAGAGCTTCTTGGTGGGCAAGCGCGGGAAGGGGCAGTAAAGCCTGGCCAGTTGTGTGCCAGGTGCGGCCGCCGTCTCATTTGTTTCGTCTCTCTCTCTCTCTCTCTCTCTATATATATATATATATATTTCTTGCTTCTCTCTCTCTCTCTTTTTCTCTCTCTTTCTCTCTTTCTCTCTCTCTCTCTCTTTCTCTCTCTCTCTCTCTCCCTCTCTATTTCTCTCTCCCTCTCTCTCTCTGTCTCTCTCTCTATTTATCTCTATTTCTCTCTCTCTCTCTCTCTTTCTCTCTCTCTCTCTATGTCTCTTTCTCTCTCTCTCTCTCTCTCTCTCTCTTATCTCTCTATATCTCTCTCTCTCTCTCTCTCTTTCTTTCTCTCTCTCTCTTTCTTTCTCTCTCTCTCTCTTTCTCTCTCTCTCTCTGTCTATATCTCTCTATATATACATGGATCCCTCTCCTTCTCACTCGCTCTCTCTCTCTCTCTCTTTCTGCCTCTCCCTCTCTCTGTCTCGTTCTCGCTCTCCCCTGCCCCCTCTCTCTCTCTTCCTCCTTCTTTCTCCATTTCGATGACTCTCTCTCCCTCCATCTCTCTCTCTCTCTTTCTCTCTCTCTCTCTCTTTCTCTCTCTTTCTCTCTCTCTCTCTCTTTCTCTCTCCCTCTCTCTCTCTCTCTCCCTCTTTTCATGTCTGTAGATCTTTCTACTTATCCGTAAGTGCTTCGCCCCCATACCGCCAACCACCCTTTCTTAGAATGGGACTTGCCAGAGATGTGCTGGGATGTCTGGGCGCTGACGTTAAGCAACGTGGGTCTTTACAAACTGCGGAATATTTCACAATTGCGAATATTCTTCTTTTCGAAGGTTTATGGCTCTGGGCGCGAATACTTCATAGTTTAATTTGCGAAAGTTTATGGCTTCGGGGCCACGACTAGCACGTAATGATTGAAGGCTTATGGCCTCGAGGACGCAACCATTGTGTACTTTACTGGCTTCGTGGACGCGGACATTGCATAATTTACGAGGGTGTATGGTCTCGAGGCGCGACAAAAGATTGTCTCCGGGCCGACCCGCGGCTGGGGAGAATTCAAAAGATTGTCCCGGGCCGACCCGCGGCTGGGGAGAATTCGCAAGATTGTCCCCGGGCCGACCCGCGGCTGGAGAGAATTCAAAAGATTGCCCTCGGGCCGACCCGCGGCTGGGGAGAATTCAAAAGATTGTCCCCGGGCCGGCCCGCGGCTGGGGAGAATTCAAAAGTTTGCCCCCGGGCCGACCCGCGGCTGGGGAGAATTCAGAAGATTGTCTCCGGGCCGACTCGCGGCTGGGGAGACTTGGTCAAAAGATTGTCCCCGGGCCGACCCGCGGCTGGGGAGAATTCAAAAGATTGCCCCCGGGCCGAACCGCGGCTGGGGGGAATTCGAAAGATTGCCCCCGGGCCGACCCGCGGCTGTGGAGAATTCTAAAGATTGCCCCCGGGCCGACCCGCGGCTGGGGAGAATTCGAAAGATTGTCCCCGGGCCGACCCGCGGCTGGGGAGAATTCAAAAGATTGCCCCCGGGCCGACCCGCGGCTGGGGAGAATTCAAAAGATTGTCCCAGGGGCCGACCCGCGGCTGGGGAGAATTTAAAAGATTGTCCCCGGGCCGACCCGCGGCTGGGGAGAATTCAAAAGATTGTCCCCGGGCCGACCGTAGTGCAGTACAAAAGTTCAGGTGGCGCCAGCTTCAGTATTGGCAACACCGCCAGCGTGTGACGGCCCCAGATTGGTGCGATCAGTACTGGCGCTTACCAGCGCACGTCCGCGCCATTTTGGGCCCAGAGAAGAATCTGGTGCTGTTTGCCGAAATGCTGAAGGCTTCGGGCTCTCCAGACGCAGGCTTGCCAGCAGCGTTGGCACACGGTTTCCCTTTGGTTGGGCTTCTCCATGCAACTGGGGCCATGCGGCCAAGTGCCGCACTTGACCACGACTCGCCGGCGCAATTGTTGGCAGTGTCGCCTTGGGCCAACGCCGGCATTCTCGACAGGATTCGTGGTTCTTGTTCAGAGGATTCCGGCGTTGCAGGAGCGCTTCAAGCTCAAACGCTAGCCGAAGTGAGAGCTGGACAGGCCGAGCGGCGCGACTTGCCATCCGACCTCGCCGGCGCGGTGCTGTCTCCGCGGTTTTCAGTTGATGAAGGGTGGTTTTCGTGAGCGGCAGTGGTCGCGGAAAGTCCGGGCCATTGACGATCTCACAGCGTCGGGAGCCAATGGTGCCACGGCGCTGTCCGAGCGGATCGAGAATGAGACTCTCGACGATTTGGCTGCAGCCGCCCAGTGCCTCGTCGCTGGTGGAGCCAGCGTAGAAGACATCCGCTTTCGCAAAGAGGATGTTTCCGGGGATACAAGACACTGCCGCTGCACAGCGATCACCTTCCTTTCGCGGCCGCTGTGACCGCAGAGTCGGTGTTGCAAGGGCAATGCCTACAGCTGCTCCGTTGCCCATTTGGGGCAAAGGCGAGCGCTCATGCGTGGCAGCGTGTGGGCGCCGCATTTCAAACAATACTTCCAAGCTTGTTCAGCATCGTGCATCCACGATTCGTGGACGATTTTTTCGGCACTGACGCAGAGCAGGCTCACGACTGGAGCTCGAGCGAAGTGGACGCCAGCTCCTTAGCTAGACTCGTCATCCAAGACTTGCTTGGGTGGCGTCTCGACCCGCAGAAAGCAGTCTCTGCTGCTTGCAGTTTTGTAGTGCTTGGTGCGCATGTGTCCGTTGATTCGGCCGCGAAGTGGTTAAATTTTGTCGTTCCCAGCGACAAATGTGCAAAGTGGCTCGAGGAAATTTCTGCCATGCTGCATTGCCAGCAGCTGACGCCCGCGCACGCCCAAAAGTTGGCGGGCAGGCTCAGCTGGGGATCAACCGCCGTTTTCGGGGAAGGCGCGCGCGTTTATCTCGCGCCGCTTTTCCGACATTCGGCGGGGGAAACCAGTCGGCTTCCCACGCGCCTGCGCAGAGCGCTGGCGTGGTGGCAGCGGTTTCTCCATTCGCAGCCATGCAGGGTTGCGCCGCTGCCGCCTGTTGCGAAGCCACGCCTGGTCGCGTGCGCAGACGCGACTGGGGCTGGCACGTTGGCTTGGGTCGCCGCGCTTGGCGGTCGTATGTTTTTCGCGTCGGCGCCCGCACCTGGCCGGCTTAAGAGGCGGGGGTGCCCGCGCAAGCAGCAGATCCACACTTGGGAGCTGGCGGCTGCAGTGTTTGCCTTGTGGCACTTCCTCAATTTTCACGACAGCGCCGCTGGCTTCGATATTGTTTTGTTTATCGACACCACAGTGGCGCTCGAGACATTGCTCCGCGGCTGTTCCCACCAGCGCGACTGGGATGAGATGGTGGCTGGCGTGTGGCTTGCTGCAGCAAGCCGCGGCCATTTTCTCAGTGCATTCCGCGTGCCCTCGAAATTAGACGTGGCGGACTGGCTGAGTAGAGAGGAACAGAAGTCGTCGGAAATGGCGCAATTGCTCTCGTCGGGGTTTGCCCGCGTCGACTGGGCCTGGCCATCGGCTGATTTCTGGGCGCAGTGAGTTGGTGGCGCGAGCCGAAGTGGCAGGAACGAGCCGGGAAGAAAAACAAATGCCATCCATCATCTGTTGCGACGTCTGCGCCTGCTAGTGCGACGTCTTTCACGGTGCTTCTCCATAGTCAGGATGGCTCAAAATGGCCTTGGAGTTCATCGATCGCAAACGCGCGCGATGGATTCAGGGGAAGGGTGTTGGTCTTGCGGCTGGTTCTGACCAAGTGGCGGGCCCCGTCGCTGCTCGCGCGATTGTGCCGGGCGTTCTCGAGGAGCGGTTCGCTTCGGTGCTCCGGCGCGCGCCGCCCTGCTGCCGCCCAGAAGTGCCAGGTGAAGTTTTGGCTGCTCTTGCAGAAGGAGGGCCTGTGCATGGGGATGATTTCTGCGACATGAGTTCGCAGGAACTTCGCGATGTGTGGCCGTGCCTCAGGCGTCTGTCCGGCGAGTTCCTGTCTGTCTTGTCTTCGAAATGACGCCCTCCGCTGGCGCCGGCGGCGGGGCGAGCCCCAGGGTTCGCATGCCAAGTCGGCGAGGCCTCGCATGATGAAGCAGGATGTCGGGCCGGCGGCGAAGGCAGCGTTGGCGGCCCCTGGGTTTCTGGCTGCGGCGCGCCTCAACAGCA